TATATATTATTTTAACTATATTATTAAATTAAATATAAAATCTTTGACATAATTTAATTTCTAAATAGTGATTACACTCAAACTTAATTTAGTTTTAAACACTGTATAAATTGTCGAATGTTTGTGTGATTAAACTTTTTGATTATCTTAATCAAAATTTTGGTAGACTTTAGCCAACTTTTTTCATTTGACAAAAGTGATATATGACTCATATTACTTAATCAAGTACTTAATGATCAAATCTTAATTTTTATAAATATAAAAAAAATTCAAATTGAGAAATTCATTGATAATGATAAAAAAAATTATATTGATATAATGTTGCACATAATTTTTACGTTAATAATGTTGTTGAATAATTGATATTAATTTTATTTTTTTGCCACTTTTATCTTCCTTCCATTTTTTCTTTAGAGATGATTTGGCTGGTATCGAGGGAAAGCGAATGTGGTGAGCCCCACCCACCAAATACATGACCCCCATTCTATAAAATATATCACCACGAGGCACTCCACATATCTTCATAATCTATGACTACACTTTGCGTATATAACTGTTTAACAATTTGATATGTGTTCTCGCAAATGGCCATGTCTGAATGGAATTATTTTTTCCTTATTTAAATACCACGAAATTGACATTAATTAAAAATAACTTTTTATATGTTTATATATTGTCCTAATATGAAAGTATTTATATGATGAAGATGAAGAAACAGAGTACAGCACGACGGAAACAACACCCAAAAAACATGTTCACTAAAATAAGAAAGGAATGAAATGTTAAGCACATCAAAGCTAAAGTGTATGGGATAAGCCATAATAAGAATAATTTAAGAAAGGGAAAAACATGTTCACTAAAAATAAAATATGATCACATGTAGGGATGAGACGCAATAGATTCTAAACACCCATTCTTTCTGTCACTATTTATTAGTTTTTTAAATAAAAATTATATATTTTATTTTTAAATTATACATATAATTAATCAATAACTTTTCATCTGTGCAATATTGAAAGATTATATCCTTAATTTTTTAAAAATAAATATTTTTATTAACTATTATTAACCAACTCTAAATAACCGTTGACACTATTATATTTTTTTATTTATTTTATTTTAAAAATATTTAGTGACAATATTTTATTTATATATATATATAAACGTAAATAGATAATTTAGAAACAAAATGCTAGCAACGGTGATCACGCACTTCTGCTCTATTAGGTGAAAACATTTTGGTCTGGGTCTCACAGGAGTTTATATTTTCCTTTTCTACTCTCATACTCAATATTATAAAAATTGAATTAATCTATACAATAATTTAATAATTTAATGATCAAATTGGAGAGGATCAGTTATTGAAATGCTTAAATTTAAAATTTAAAATTATAATTCACAAGTTCATAATAATATATTTTCATGCTTCAAATTTAAAAATATCCATATAGTAAAGTGCTCAATATGTAAAATAATAATTAAACTAATTTTTACAACCTATAACGATTCACCTTTTTTAAAAATAAAAAAAATTGACCAATTAGTTATTAGTCAATTTGATTTAATTTAATCTAATTTAACTACTTACATGATTTGACTAGTAAAATTGTTTCAATTTGGACAATGACACCAATCAATTCAATCCAATTTTGATAATATTGTTCTTTCCAAACATATCTCATTTCTTAACTTACCTTTATTTCTTTACACTTCCTTTCCATTTCCTAAACGGAGGAGATATTTTTCGGAGTATTGATAATTTGATATCCTATAAATTTATATATATCAAATCAATACTCATCATTTCGTTTTATTTTCTTTTTCTATTGCATTATATAACTTTTTATGTTCATATTTTTTATTTTCTATTTTTTTCTCTTATAGGTATTTGACAGATATCCAAAATTATTTTTGTTTTTTTAAGGAATGATTTAGACTCATTTATATATCTACTCTTATGTTTATATATATATATATATATATA